GCCGGCATCGAGGAGGTGACGCAGTCCTTGTGCGACGTCGACGTGGCAGCTGCACGTGCCTTCGATCCGCGCGACGAGCAGAAGGTGAAGACCACGATCCAGTCCACAGTTCCGTGATCGAATTGGGTGCGGCCAGGAATGGGGCGGAATGCAGTGGATGGGGTGGTCGAACGTCAGGTGGTTGACCGCCGGGTAGAGAGCTTGGCATCCGGAATGGTTTGTGCGGATATGGGGTGGATGGGGTGGTGAAATGTCGAGTGGTTGACCTAAAAACCACCAACTACAGGGGTAGAGAGGTGGATAGCTTGGATCTGGGATGGTTTGTGGGACTGCTTGAACATGTTGGAGCGGGTTGGGGACAAGAGGAAATCTTGTCCGAACTTTCCAGTGGGTAACTTAGCCCGTACCAGTAAGTACTCAGTACTATTCATGGGCCGCCAATGGATAGAAGAGAATGTCCAGGAAAGGACCAGCAGTTAGTTTTCTGGCATATCTTCTCACAAGGAGAGCCTGTCGGGTTTGGGGTTGGGGAAAGCTACTGGGAGATATTCAACGAGATTTGGAAACATTCGGACAGTCTTTTTAACGGTTCTTGTAATTATGTTTTTTCCTGATGTTTGTTGGGTCGTTGCGCTCCCGTTGAGCAAAGGTAGGCTTCGACCAAGTGAATCAGCACGTGAAGGACGCCATGATCCAGTGGATTTGCGTGGTGGTCCGGGAGAAGTTCCAACGACTCATCAACAGAGCCGATCGTGAGGACGTCTTTTCTGTCTAGCAGAAGTCTGACAGCTAATTAGTTCGCATGTGCATGTGCAAAAGCCGAGAAGTTTAGCCTGGCAGAAGTCTAGTTGCAATTGATCTAGCACAAGTCTAGCCCTTTGGAAAAAAGTCGGAAGCGAAGTCATCTGAGAGCCTGATGCCAGGGCACTTGGCAGGGTACTTCGTGACGGTGCAGTCAAAGACAAAGACGAGAAACTTCGGCTCTTGCAGGGGAATTTCGGCAGTTCACTTCCATGTCTTACGTAAGTCAGATTGCCATGGCAAGATGTTTCTTGGTTTCTGAGTGATGTTCGATGTTGAAAAGACTTTTCATGGGTCTTTTGTGGCTCAGACGTCCTCACGAATTCGGCAGCCCATCGGGTGGGCACAAAAAACGCTTCCAACAAGAGGCTTCGGAATCATCAGCGATGGTGGCGCTGCTTTGGCTTCGCTGCTGGCTGTGCATGTTGCTCTCTGGAGTTTATGGCTCTCACTTCTCCACCCGAGCAGAGCTACGAGATGCCCTGCTCCAGCGCCTTGGATGCGACCCGGTGCCACTCGCGAATTCGTTCGCATCGATGACGTCGCAGTCGTTTCGGTTGATGCGGCGCCCGCAGATGTTCGGTGGCACAAAGAGACCAAACGTGCGCGTAGCTCGTTGTTTTTTTTGCACAGAAGATCCTTCTTGCATGATGTCGCATGGCGCGTGTTTGGAAGATCAACGAAGCGAGGTTGAAAGCGTCATGTGTGAAACACTCAGGAAGTATAGTCATGAAGTAGAGCGACCATGAGCGACCTATAGAATCCTTTCCATGGTTTTCCTCCAACAGTGATGATCCCCTTCATCATCTTGCCTTCCGACCACTCCTTGAGCAAAACACGCGGCTGACACTCTGTGAGGTGGCACAATGTGGACGAGGCCACCAAGTTGCAGCTGACCTCGCTGTGGGGAACGCCTGGTGAATGGAACGTGTCGGCGGTGACCAACATGAACCTTAACAAGAGAAGAGTTCATATTTGTGTGCTTTGATTTGTGGGTTCTCTTAACTTTTGACAATAGGCTTCGCGAAAGCTGCAAGCTTTTCAGAAGGGATGGCTCTTTTCTCGGCTTTGGCAAGAATGACAATCTGGAAGTTTGAGAGAAACGGAAGTTGAGCATTTGGACAACTTTTCCCCTAGTTGCTTGTGTCATTCCGTGGTACCTTCAAGTGGAAAAGTGGAGAGTGGCAGCGTACTGGAGATGCACCAAAGGAAGACATCAGTATCTCCCATGTTGCCGTGATTGAATACAGATTGTGTCCCACACGCTCCACGTATGGAATGTATACCTACATTGACCCCTGAAATCACCTCATCCAAGCTGTGTGTGCGCGAAGCGAAGTGGACATGTAAGTGAACTAGTTGGAGGTGCTTACTCCCAGTCCCATGGATTGTTCAAGGTATCTTGGATCATTCCAAGTTGGGTTTTGGAAGAAACAGAGTCAGAAGACACGAACTTCAAAGTTCTTCAGATGGTGCAGTCCGTGCACTTCATGAACAGCTCTTGAAGATGTGAACAAATCAATGAACAAATATTAACAACACGTAACAAACAGGAAAATCATTATAAAATCACTCAACTTGGAAGGCGTTTGGGACTGCCCAGTTTGGACTCCAAGATACTCCAAACCTCTGAGGTGTAGCTGCATCTTCGCTCTAAGGAGTGGCTTGTTCAAGGACTTGGACAGCTTCAATGAGAACATCAGCGCATGGGATACTTCGAAGGTACTCGACATGAGTTCCATGTTCCATGGAGCCACTGCATTCAACATGCCCATCGGACTTTCGGCCAAGACCAATTCGGTCGTAGAAATTTCCGGCTCACCCCAAAAATACCCAAAGGCTTCGCTACGGTTTTGACCCTCATAGAAAGTTCTGATGTGAAGCATTCTGAAGCAACCCCGACAAGGGGCCTTTGTGTGTTTTTGTTGGTTTTTGGAATTTTGGTGTAATTCATCCCTAACGTGGAACGTTCCGAAGTCGTTCTTTTTTGCTATTTGGCCCGAGGTCGGTCGTTTTTGACCCGCCTCGCCAGCTCTGCAGATCGAAACGCATGCCCGATCATGCCGCACCGGTATTGGTGCTTTGACACCGGTGTCATTTCGAGGTTCCTCTGTTGAACTCAAAAACCTCTGAAAACGCGTGTCAAGAGAGCCAGCTTTCTGCGGCCGGGCGTTTTGGAATGACGGGTGTAGTTCATCCATATTCATCCCTCTGGCCGCTTGCGCGAGCATCCGAATGAACTGTGCGGGTCAGTGGGTGTTTTTTTTTTTATGTTCTTTTTTTGAGAGAGCCAAGGTACGTGGAACACGTCAAGTGTGCAGACAATGCGCAAGATGTTCAACAAGGCTTCCAGCTTCAATGAGCCGATTGATTTGTGGATCACAGCTGCAGTCGTTGATATGTCCTATATGTTCTACAAGGCCAGGTCCTTTGATCAGCGCATCGGTGCTTGGAACACAGGCAAAGTCAGAGACATGAAGGGCATGTTCTACGGAGCCACGTCCTTTGATCAGCCCATCGGTGCTTGGGACACCCGCAATCTGAGAACCATGAAAGCCATGTTCTACAATGCTGCGAAGTTCAACCAACCCATTGGAGCGTGGAATACCTCTGCAGTCACGGACTTCTCCTTCAGTCTTTACGGAGCCACTTCCTTTGATCAGCCTGTTGATGCTTGGGACACGTGCAACGTAAGACACATGGAGCATATGTTTTTTGCCGCAGATACTTTTAACCAGTCCATCGGGTCCTGGAAGACCTCGGCAGTGAAGAATATGCGACAAATGTTCTATAGGGCCAGGTCCTTTGATCAGCCCATCGGTGCTTGGGACACAAGCAATGTCAGGAACATGCAGGGCATGTTCTACAAGGCTGCGAAGTTTAACCAACCCATCGGAGCGTGGAACACATCTGCTGTGATGGACATGTCCGGAATGTTCTATGGAGCCACATCCTTTGATCAGCCTGTTGATGCTTGGGACACGTGCAACGTGAGGAACATGAAGGGAATGTTTTACAATGCTGCGAAGTTCAACCAACCCATCGGGTCATGGAACACCTCAGAAGTTATGGACATGTCCTATACGTTCAGGGGAGCTGCGTCTTTCGACCAACCCATCGGTTCTTGGGACACTGGCAAAGTCCGAGCCATGAACACCATGTTCTTCGAGGCCACCTCCTTTGATCAGCCCATTGGTGCTTGGGAGACTGGCAATGTCCAAGACATGAATTCCATGTTCTACAATGCTGCCAAGTTCAACCAACCCATCGGGTCGTGGAATACGTCTGCTGTCACTGACATGTCCTTCCTGTTTTACGGAGCCAGCTCCTTTGACCAGCCCGTAGGTGGTTGGGACACAAGCAATGTCCGAAGCATGAGGCTGATGTTCCACTTTTCTGATAAGTTTAACCAACCCATTGGTTCGTGGAATACGTCTTGTGTGATGGACATGACCGCCATGTTTACAGCGACGGACTCTTTCAACCAGCCCATTGGTGGATGGGACACTTCGCGGGTCAATTACATGAGCGGAATGTTTGAAAGAGCTGTTGCCTTCGACCAGCCGCTGAATCATTGGGACACCAGTGCTGTCACAAACTTCTCTGCGATGTTTTTCCGTGCCAGCTCCTTCGACCAGCCAGTTGGATTGTGGGACACATCGGCAGCGACAGATATGAGACGCATGTTTGCAGGGGCTCAACGTTTCGATCAGTCTGTCTCGACATGGAACCTGACATCAATCCCTGACGCCCAAGCTATGGCCGAAGCTTTCACGGGTTCAGGCATGTCAACTTGCGTGTTGCGTCTCAGTTCCGAAGCTTGGGGTTTGCCTTCCAGCATTCGTCAGACGTGGTCATACCAACTCTGTCCCAGCTGCCCTTGCCAAAAAACCAACTTGGCATGTGTGGATGAAGCCTGTCAACCAGTGAACTCCGGCTTCATTGAGCTTGGGAGAGATGCCTGGGACGATGGAAATGCAAGTCTGACAACTGCTGTGGGCTTTCGAGCATGTGTCGAACGATGCGAAGACTCGGAGTGCCATGCCGTTCTTCTCGAAGACTCTGGGCGCTGCTGGCTATTGAACGACATGAACGACCAGAGTGAGCTCAGCTCGATTAGAGGACATGGTGACATGGTCGATTGGGTCAAGTTCCCGCTTGACGGTCTTGTCACGTCACAATTTCTTAGTCTAGTCTAGGCACTAGTTGTTTAATGTTTCGATACAAAAACTGAGACACCGCCCCCACCGCCCACATCTCCGGAGGATCGGGTCGGAGCTACTTGGCGTTTCGCAGGGCCTCGTGCCGCACCTTCTCGTGCCCGCAGAAAACGACGCGGGCGACGACGAGTCGCAACGCTTCACCTGCGACGGCGACGGTGACGGCGGCCTCCTGTTGCAGGTGCGTTGCTCCCAATGAGGTTCCCATTTGGAGCAAGGTACCTGTCGCTTGGAGCTGCAAAAGTGTGCAAAGACTGTGGTGCTTCTGCTCCCTGTTCTTTGTATATAATTGTATATATGCTTGTTCGACTTTGTTCGACTAAGAAAGATTCCACGGGTTCCGTGATCATCAAGAGAGATCCGCCAGTTTTCTGAGATCTTTGCACAAGCTCAAGCCCTGTGGCATGTCCCCGGGAAAGGGGGAATTGATACGTCAAGAAGTTGACATTTTCTTTCTTCTTTCCAAAGGGTCAACAGCGAGCGGTGCGTGTGTTTGCCCCAAAATGCCAAAGCACCACACAGAAACACCGAGCGGGTAGGATGGGTAGGGGTCTCTTCGAAGAACATCGAAGAACTTGTCAGAAGAAGAGTACCCAGACGCTCCAAACAGCCCTTGATCCCTCCAAACCTAGGGATTTGAGGGTCCTGACCTCTCCATATGAGGGCATATGAGGGTCCAGGAGTGTTTGGGTAGGCAGAAAAGCAGATAAAGACGGTCTTTCGGAAGACCTTTGTTGATCTGAGGACTTGGAATGCCAGAGCTGTGCAGCTGGAAAAGCTCCCAAGGATGATCGTTGTGAAGCATGCGCCTCAGGCGAACCCCGTTGGGGGCGAAGAGGACCTTTCTGCGAGTTTCGGTGTTTCAGCGAGGTTGGAGCGGTCTAGCAGTTGATTGCGATTCCGTTTTGGGAATCGTTCTATGGAAAGTTATGTTTGGAACTTTGGAACTTGTAATCTTGCTTGCACAGCTTTCCTGGCACCCATTTTGCCTTTCAAACATGTGAAAAGCTCACAAGGTTGTTCAAAGTTCAGAGGCTATCAAGAGGCCAACTCAGGTTCCGAAAGAGATCGAGTTCCATGACATACGACGGCTTGCCATCTGGCCGGGCCAAGCCGTTGTCCCGACACTTGCTCGGGGAGCCGACCTCTTGTGGTGACGAGCGTCCGGTCATCGGGTTTTTCAATCGGCCAGGCTTTGCCCAAGCTGGTGCTGTGCGATGTGAAGACTGTCCACCTGGAGAGATTCCTGTGCTTCCGAGCCACCTGGTGAGTTGAACAGAAGGACGAGACGACGCCGTCCAAGTTGAGGACAGATGAGTCTAGTTGGTGATCGAATTGCATCCAAGTACCATCTTTGATGGAAGACATCCTCCCCTTGCAAAGAAGGGACATGGGTTGAGAAGGGACAATTACGAAAGCCAGCCTTCGTAGAAGGCGCCAGCGGAGTTGTGTTTGGCGAACGAAGTGAGTAGTTAGGGGGTCTGGGGGGGGTGGCCCGCAAGAGGTACACGTAAACTCGGCACATGCTGGGGGAGGAGGGTGCGTCGAGGGAAGGTTTTTTGAGGTTGTGTTGGAGGTGATTTTTGAGGGGTGGTGATGCAAGAAATGCAATTTGCATCATTTGCATCATCTGAATGGAAAGGTGTAGTTGGCACCTTGCCAGGTATCGAGACCCAGGGTAGCTATAGTGCAGCTCTCAGGTATAGTACTTCAAGTTCCCTTTCCGTCAACCGCTCGATAACCTCTACACACGCACAGCAATCCACAGCTTTGAGCCCTCATGCGCGCGATACCTGGGAACAGAATTGTAGCTACCGTGGGTCCGTATGAATGCTATGTTGCTATACCTCTTACACACCTATACCAGTTCAAAGCACGAATGAGACTTCATAGCTGTGGTTTGCTGTGCATGTGGTGACGCACTCGCCAAGTATACCCTTCAATAGGAACTCGAACAGCTCAAATCCAGAAGATTCTGAAAATGGCCTGGCTCCCTATATGAACCCACAATGTGCATCCTTTGCTATCGCTTCGCAGGCCTTCATTTTTAAGGTGGCCTGAACAGAGTGTTTTAGGGCAGCAAACCCTGGTCTCAGGCCACCTTGAATTTAGCTTGAAAACCACAGCTTTGAAGCCTCATGCGCGCGATACCTGGGAACAGAATTGTAGCTACCCTGGGTCCGTATAAATGCTATGTTGCTATACCTCTTACACGCCTATACAAGCTCAAAGCACGAATGAGACTTCAAAGCTGTGGTTTGCTGTGCATGTGTGGCTCGAGAAAGATATACGTAAACTCTGGGGGGTGATGCTTTGCTTTTGGAGCGGGTGGTGACGCACTCGCCAACTATACCCTTCAATAGGAACTCGAACAGCTCAAATCCAGAAGATTCTGAAAATGGACTGGCTCCCTATATGAACCCTGGGAAGACTGGGAAGCGAAGAGGTGGAAACAGCTGGGAGGTCTTGAGCTTTTAAGTAAACAAAAGGCCACATTCAAGCAGCAGAAGGACAATGTGCATCCTCTGCTCTCGCTTCGCACACCTTCATTTTTAAGGTGGCCTGAACAGAGTGTTTTAGGGCAGCAAACCCTGGTCTCAGGCCAAATTGAATTTAGC